TGTTGCTCAACTTCGAGCGTTGTTAAGGAGCACGATGTGCGCTGAAACATCGTGCGCCGCTAAGGGACGCGACAAAGTTGCTAAGGGGTGCTACGGGCGCTGCTAAGGAGCGCGATCGGCGCTCTAAGGAGCGCGACTGACGCTGCTACGGCGGGTGCTGCTAAGAGACGCGACGGGAGCAACTAAAGTGCGCGACGGGCGCTGCTAATGCGGCTGCTGCTTAGAGGCGCGATGAAGAGCGGTAATTACCTTGTATGAACCTGTGTGTTAACGGCTGCTAATCATCGCTTACCTTCTGTTCTTTCTTTCAATTGTTTTTGGTAAAGATCTCCTTCATAGCGAGTCAATGTGTCATCACGCAAAATGGTTTGTACGATTTGATGTTGGCATTTTTTGTGGTTACCGACTTATACGTACATACAACGTTCACGTTAATTTCGCGTTTTTTTTTTCCTCCCCTTTGAAAGTATACGCAATATGGAGGTTCTGTTTAGTATTTCACAGCCGCCACTTAGTTCTCTCTCACTAAGGACGCGACAGGCGCTGCTTCGTTAGGTCGCTGCAAAGGGTCGTGACGGGCCCTGCTAACCCTGTTGCTGGTAAGGGGCCCGATGCTCAACTTGCTTAATGATTTTGTTGATAAAGCCAATGTGTCGTGTATTTTTTTGTTTTCTTGTATTCAGAGATGTATTAATCCTTTTGTACATGGAGATGTTTGTTTCAATCGTTTCTGGTGAATATTTCCTACCTTGCAGGACAATGTGTCATTAGTCACCACTGTTTGTACGATTTAGGATAATTTTATAGTTATAATTTTCTGCAATAGACCTTGTGGCTCATTCAATATTGTTCTTTAATTTGTGCAGGTTTTTTTTTGTAGCATTAATTAATGGGGGTTCGTATATTTATCTGGAAATCCGTAATTTAGTTTCTAGCATTTTTATCAAGTAGAGATGCCTTTGCATGTGTTTTCTCATAAATCATGTACACAATGGTTGGGTATTATTTTTATTGGTAAAACGTATCTTAGTATATCGGGTACGTGCTGTACACAGTTTGCATTCGCCTTTCGTACTGTCCGAATGAACTCTTCGCGGACTCTTTGATGGGACGTAAAACAGACTCCGGAATGTAGCAGGCCTTGGTCCAAAAAGTCTCTTTTTCTGCACGTCCGGAATCCGTCCAGAAAGAGTCCGTTCGGACTCTTGGGGACAACTTTGGGACGCTGGAAAATGGGGAGTCCCCACCTTCCTTCTCTGGCAAAATTTGCCTCCTTCGCCCCCCCTTTCGAAAACTGCTCTTGCCCGGGATGTGAGACGGAGGGGGGAGGGAGGCGCTGGGTTAGGGAACACCACACCTGAACCCTTCCAAGCAAACAACCCCTCCCTTGAGTAGCCCAAACAGGGACGCGTCAAACTAACAGGTTAAAAAAACACAAGCCACCAACCTCCTCGAACTGAATTGAAAACCCTAACGAGCTCACAACACAACTCCCCTTTGGTTACCCTTCTCTAAACTTCAACCCTTTTTCTGATGCCGCGCAGCTCTATCTACCCAACTTCGATGCAGTGGAAATTGTGGCTGTTTTTTTGTCATTTACCTACAGCAGCTTCGCACCGAGCAACCGAAAATTCCCACTTTCGGTTGTAGCGGGACGGGGGGGGGGGGGGGGGGGGGGGATTCGAAGGGGAAACTGCTTTGGAACCCTCGTCATTTCCCTTCGCCCCCCCACCTCCCTCCCAAGGGAAATGCCTACAGAACGCAGCCCATACACGAACTGAGGAGATAAACTCTACAACGGTGGGAGCTAGACTACAGGGTGGGCACTGGTTGTAGGAGTGATCATAGCTCTGTCTGTGTTCTCTAGGACTTGTGTTTTCACAGGGCAAAACAGCAAGAGTTTCACTAAGGAAAGTTGAGAATAACAGAGTTCAGAATGAACATGCAATGGCAAAGACTGACTACATCACATGCAAGGTTTGCTAGCACTCAGGCAGGTCGACTGCCAGCACGACAAAGTCGTCGACCTGCCAACGAAGCAAGTTCGTGATCCGCCAACGCAGCTCGTATGCGACTTGCCAACGCTGCAGATGGCGGCCTGCCAACGCTGCTCCCGCGCAGCTTGCCAACGCAGCATCCGCGCGGCTTGCCAACATTGCATCCGCAGGTGATTGTAAGCGCATGTGCAAGCACCTACTTCGCAGGTGCTTGTAGACAGTTATGCACAACGTGCACTGTCAAGTACATTGCGCAGGTTGTCAGCCACATGCTGACGGTTGCACATGATGAGCCACGTCGACCACGTGCTGCCACGTCGGTCGACTTCGCCACAGCAGCCTCGACGACGTTCGCACACCTTCGCGCACCTCGTCGAGCAGGTAACTTGGTCAACCAGGTAAGGTACCTGACATCTTCTGCAGGATGACGACCTTCGTCATCACCGGTTGACGACCTTCGTCGTCGCGGGTTGACGACCTTCGTCGTCGGGGCTCGACGACCTTCGTCGAGCACCTTCGTCGAGCACCTCGGTCGACATTTCAAAATGTCAGCCCCTGATTGGTCGAAATTAGGGCACATTCGAATTTCTGGCCAAAATTCGCCTGTGCAGTCTCAATGTTGCGCAGGGTCAAACGCGACCCTGCGCAGACGGACACCCGCGAACTTCTGCACCAGCTGCGCCACTCTGGTCGACGAACTGCTTCGTCGACCATCCTCGTTGAACTCCAACTCCTTTGTCGACGAAGTCACAGTGGTTCCGCGCAGGTCGACGACCACCTTCGTCGACCTCTGCGGAAGGTCGGCTGCACCTCCCACACACCCGACCACAAGTCAATTTGCCCATGCGAGGGCGGGGCCAATTTCCTTCAACACGAGCCCTAGAAAGCAAACACCCCTAACCTCGAATAGCCCAAACAGGGACGAAGTAACATGCGTGAAAAAAAAAATGCATTGAGGTTTGTGTCTTGCAGGTGGGTGTGGTGGGGTTAGATTTTGTTCCATCTGATTACCCTTCTAAAAACTTCTACCCTCGTTCTGAATTCGCCCAGGTCTATCTACCCATGAATCGTGCGTGCGAAATTGTGCGTGTGTTTTCTTCATTTACCGTCTGAACCTTCCACACGAGATGGCGAAATTTCCCACAATCGGTTGTAGCAGGAGGGGTGATGTCGAGAGGGAAAACTGCTTCGGAACCCTCGTCATTTCCCTTCGCTCCCCCACTTCCCTCCCGAGGGAAATGCCTACAGAACGCAACCTGTGTGTTTGGGCTAAGAATTCCAGAAGTCTCAAGTTTCACGAGTATAATTTCGATGTTCCCTCCCCTAGATCCTCTCTCCTCTGGCCATCGCACTTCCCCGTGAAGAGTGGTTGCTGGAAGGCAAGGAGAGGGAGGCAAAATTTGCCTGGGAAAAAAGGTGGGGAGGGTAAATGTACAGCTTTCTAGGGGTGCACATCCCTGGGGGTAAATGAGCATTTTGTTGGCATTTACCTTCGTTTTGGTTCGGAGGGCAAATAGATGGCTCGGCATGGTTTTATGGGCTGACCGTCGAGTCGAACCAAAAAAACGCAGAGAGGGGAAGATTCCTATTTCCACTCGCCCCCCCTCCGCCAGTGCCCAGAGAACACCACCGCTATGTATGTAGGTCGGTACGAGATTGGCGGCGGCGGAATCAGGTCTATCCAGCGCGACAGATCCGTACAATCAAACTCCGCAGCACACTCACCCTCAGGCATGGCCGCAAGTGAGGCAACAGGTAGACCATAGAGCTCAGATCGCCTTCCTGGAGTGTCTGGACAATGAAGTGGGGACAGCGAAAAGTGCACTCGGCACGTGTGAAGGCATTTGGGTTTGTGATGAGGTGGCGGGGGACGAATGAGGACGTCGCACGTGGGTTGAGCCCCCCAACGCGGTCAATCCCAACTGCATGCAGATTTTGCGAGGGAGTGGTTACGAATGCATACAACGAAACTGTTGGAGGAAAAATGTCGACCTGTCGGGTAACCATGCGGTTACCCTTGTTGAGGATTGAGTCAGCTGTATGCATTCGCAAAATTGCACTGACATAGGTTGAAAGCCGTTGAAAAATACCCAAAGTTTGAGCACGTAGGGGAATCTTTTGAGCTGCCACGCTGGAACCAGTGCGGTGCACTTTTGGGGGCTGTCCTGTCCCAAGTTCGCAGGAAGGCGATCTCAGTTGCCTTGCCATTGCCAGTTTTTTCATCACAAGATTCAGCACAAGATTCACAAGAGGGACTTGCTTAGTTGTCTGGAATCAGCCATAGTGGTCTTGCTGATAACGTTAGCCCTAAGTCCCGAAGCAAGCAAGCTTTCCCGCCATTTTTCTTCGCTGTAGATTGGCCACAAAGTTTATTATTTGCGTGGCTGGCTTCCTGGTGTCAGCAGCATGCTTCAATCGTGTGCGAGGTTAGCTGGAGATAGAAAGCAGCTGTCAGTCCGAACACCGAAGCAGAATCTACGCGCAGCGAGAGGCTCTCGTGGACCGTTGATTCGACATCTGTAGATCCTTCCCCGACACCGCTGAGCCTTTCTTGTTCATTTGGAGCCTGTAGTTTCAGAATCGTTCCGTACAGTAACGCTGTTGTATTAGGCTGATGAGACCAAGACAGGAGGTCACGACTCACAATACATGCATGATGGGGGACTCAGAAGAACACATCATGCCACCCCATAGTTTCCCAGTTTCGCCGTACTTGCGTACGAAAAGGCGTGCGTGACCTAACCATCCAAGGGTACTATAGGCTCGGATGCACACTGTACATACTTCCCAATGTGCGATTCTGCTTCAGTAATCTCTTAACATTGCGCTCACTTGTCGACAGCTGACTCCTCAAGTAGCATTCAAAGTCTCACTCACTGCCTACTAGGAACCTCCGAAAGGCTGCTCGCTCGGAAAGTCCTGACTTAAAGTGACAGTTTCCGAGTACAAGAGAGCTAACAGAAAATAGAGATAACAGAATTCGCTGTATAGCGAGGACAGCAGATGGGACTGACGTCAGTGGTTAGAATAATGGACGCGGCGGGATCGGCCATGCTGGCCTCTCACCACCACCAGGAAATGGCTGTCCCTGGAGATCGCGCGCACGGTGGGGTTGCGGAGACGATACATGAGGCGCCTCGAAAATCGCCTCAAAATTCGCCGCACGACGCTGCGGGATCGGCGATGCTGGCCTCTCACTACCACCAAGGAATGGCGGCCTCCGGAGATTGCGCCACGGGTGCGGTTGCGGAAACGACACGCCTTGGAAGCTCCGCGCACTCCCCGCAACAGGCGCAACCCGCGCAATCTCCGCAATCTGAGATTGTTCCTGTCAGGGACGCGGGGAGCGGCGCGCAAGCGCAAGCACACGCGCTAGATCCGGCGGAGAAGCGGCTACTGGAGCTGGGGTACCGACAAGAGCTGAAGCGACGCCTGGTGGGGCTCTGGAAGAAAAAGGGGGGGAGAGGGTGGTTGGGAGGGAATGGGTTAGGGGGGTGGAATGGGTTGGCTAAGGGCGAGTCTTGAGGTGAGGATTCTCAGAGAGCACTTACCTTCCTGCCTCTACTCTACCCCTACTCGCAGGGCTGGCTGGAGATGTACGGAGTGTCAGCAGCAGTAATGAACCCCTACATGGCGGCCGTGCCCTTCCCAGCCTTTCCCAATCTGAATCCCCAAACCCATCTCACGCACCTCACCCCACCCAGGGCTGGTTGGAGGGCGGGTTGGAGACGTACGGCGTGTCAGCAGCAGTAACGAACCCCTACATGGCGGCCGTGCCTTTCTTTGGCCTCCTTTACCCTTCATTCAACCTCCGCCAATCTCCCCTCCCAGGACTGGCTGGAGATTTACGACGTGGCAGCAGCAGTCATGAACCCCTTAACGGCTGTGCCCCTCCTGCCTTTCCTTATCCGTCAACGCCGTTCCCCCCTCCACTGGCTGGGCTGGCTGGAAATATTCGGAGTGTCAGCAGCGGGTCATCAACCCCTACATCACGGCCGTGCCCTTCCTTCTCTTCCCCCCCTCTCCTACCACCAACACCATTCCCTTTTCCCCCTCTCAGGGCTGGCTGGAGATATTCGGAGTGTCAGGAGCGGGCCATGAACCGCGCTGCTGCAGGCACAGCCCGTGGTGTAGCCCTGGGTCGCTCTTCCGAGCCCTTCCTCATACTCCTACCCACACCCATCTCCCCCTTCCTCATACTCCTACTCACACCCATCTCCCCCTTCCAGGGCTGGTTGGAGATATTCGGAGTGTCAGCGGCAGTCATGAACCCCTACATGACAGCCGTGCCCTTCTTTGGCTTCGCGCTGCTGCAGGCAGGGCCTGTGGGCGTGGTGTGGCCGTGGGTCGTCCTTGCGCCCTTCGCCCTCTGCATGGTCCTCGTTATTGCCGAAGTCTGCTCCTCCTTCCCTGTGAGTCTGCTGCTTGCTCTGCATGGTCCTTGTTATTGCCGAAGTCTGCTCCTCCTTCCCTGTGAGTCTGCTGCTTGCTCTGCATGGTCCTTGTTATTGCCGAAGTCTGCTCCTTCTTCCCTGTGAGTCTGCTGCTTGCTCTGCATGGTCCTTGTTATTGCCGAAGTCTGCTCCTCCTTCCTTGTGAGTCTGCTGCTTGCTCTGCATGGTCCTTGTTATTGCCGAAGTCTGCTCCTCCTTCCCTGTGAGTCTGCTGCTTGCTCTGCATGGTCCTTGTTATTGCCAAAGTCTGCTCCTCCTTCCCTGTGAGTCTGCTGCTTGCTCTGCAACCCCACACCAACACTGCCCACAGGCTTCGAATCTTCTCTATACACAGACGCAGGCGGCCAGCCCCTTAGCCGCATTTCCGCGTCCATTCTCCTCCTCCCCTATCTGGCCTTGTCCACTGTGAGAATTACCGTATGTGAAGTGACACAAGCATTGCTTCCCCCCTCTCCCAATCCGTTCCCCGCTCTTCGTCTGTTCCCCATCCCATGCCTGCCTGCATGTCCCCCCCCCCCCCCCCCTCTGCCTATCCTCCCGCTGCCTCCATACATCTCGCTGTATTTCTAACCAGCCAGCCTGTTGCCGCCTGTTTTTGAGTCGACTCGAAAGCAGGCCTGTCGCCTCGCCGCCGCACTTGAAGCCCCTGATGGGCCCCAGTCCATTCATGCCCGCCCCTGTCTTTCCCCATGGGCCCCAGTCCATTCATGCCCGCCCCTGTCTTTCCCCCATCTTCCCCCCCATGTCCTCTCCCCACAGACGTCAGGCTCGCTCTACTTCTGGGCGGCCAGCCTGACGCCTCCACCCAACTCATGACCCGCCTGCCCTCCCGCATCTTACCCATGCGCACCCACACCCCCTCCAGACGTCAGGCTCGCTCTACTTCTGGGCGGCCAGCCTGACGCCTCCCCCCAACTCATGACCCGCCTGCCCTCCCGCATCTTACCCATGCGCGCCCACACCCCCTCCAGACGTCAGGCTCGCTCTACTTCTGGGCGGCCAGCCTGTCCCCACCGCGCTGGAAGCCGCTGGTGGCGTGGGTGACGGTGTGGCTCGAGGTGATCGCACTTTCAGTCTGCGCCAGCAGCATCGCCTTCCCAGGTATGACCGTCAGGCCCTTCCGAGGTCCCCCGGCGAGCTGTTGAGGCCGCTCTTTTCCAGGTATGCATGGTGTGGTGCTACTCGTCTTACCCTTCAAGCAGGCACGCTGGAAGCTGCTGGTGGCGTGGGTGACGGTGTGGCTGGAGGTGATCGCACTCTCTGTCTGTTCCAGCAGCATCGCCTTTTGAGGCGCCTCAAAAGCACTCTCTGTCTGTGCCAGCAGCATCGCCTTCCCAGGTATGCGTTGGTATTGCTTGCCCTATCTTTCAACGCAGCAATTCCCCACATAAGTGATATGAACAACCACATAAGTATTTCTGCCTCATTCCTCTTCCCTTCCCCCCCACACCAACATGGCGCAGCTGGTGCAGCGGCGCAGCTGGTGCAGATGATGATCCACCACATGGCGGGCGGGGAGCACGTCTCCTTGCTTCCCTCACCTTAATGTCCTTCCTTTCACTCCCCTTCCGCCCCCCCCTCCCCGCCCCCCCCACACCAACATGCAGCGGCGCAGCTGGTGCAGATGATGATGCACCACATGTCAGACGGGGAGCACCTCTCCTCTCCTCCCACACTCACCTTAATATCTGTCCCTACGCTCCCCTTCCTCTCTCCCCTATGTCTCTGAGCAGCGGCGCAGCTGGTGCAGATGCTGATGCATCACATGGCGGGCGGGGAGCACCTCTCCTCCACGGCATTCTTCTTTGCCCTCTACTGCGCACTGCTGCTCTCCTGGGCGCTCCTCAACTCGCTCTCCCTCGCCTGTGTCTCGCGCCTCCTCGACTGCTACGTCTACTTCGCTGTGGCATACACCATCGCCATTGTGAGTGATGCCACTGCCTCTCTCCATTGCTCTGAGGTGCTTCACCTCAACTCCCTCTCCCTAACCTGTGTGTCTCACTTGTAAAAACCGCGTGACTTTAGTCTGCCTTTGAGTCGACTCAAAAGCAGACTCACCTCAACTCCCTCTCCCTCACCTGTGTCTCGCCTCGTCGTTTGCTACGTCTACTTCGCTGTGGCCTACTGTACTGAGATGCCTCAAGATGACTTTTGAGTCGACTCAAAAGTCACTTCGCTGTGGCCTACAGTACTGAGATGCCTCAAGCTCCTTCTCCCCCGCCTGGTGCTCCCACCTCCCAGTGCATGGGTCTACCGGCCATGGCCTACACGATTGCTGTGCTGTGGTCTGCTAGTATTGCTTTTGTAAAGTCTAGAATACGATTCCCCTCCCGACCATCCCCTGTACCCTTCGTGCCACCAGGTGACAGTGCTGCCAGCAGTCGCAGTGGAGCTGAAACCACCCTCCTTCATTTTCCTCGAGTACCAGTCTGGCTGCGCCATCACGGGCGTGTGCGCCGTCCTCCCCTCGCTCATCCTCGCCGGCCTACTGCCGCAATTCTCCTACTATGGATTTGATTCTGCCGCCCACGTCACGGAGGAGACAAGGAACTCTGACGTCTCGGGCCCGCGGGCCATTCTGGGGTCGTTTCTCATGCAAGTGGTGTTTGGCTTCGCCATCCTCGTCACCTTCACCGCCTGCATCCAGGTGAGAATGTCTCCCTTGCATGCACGCCGTCGCATTGTATCGCATCACACCGCATCACACCGCATCACGTCTCATCTCGTTGCAATGCAATGCGTGCAAGTGGCTTATGGTCATGACCTGCTTGGTTCATCCCCTCCCCCTCTCCCCCAACAGGACGACTAACACACTCTCTTCACGGCCCAGTGCGTGTCCTTCATGGATCCTTCATGGATCCCGTCCCGTCGTGCACTCTCTTCACGGGAGAGGGCATACCCTTCATGGATCCCGCTCACTTCACCCAAAGCATCTCTCCTGCCTTCTCCCCTCTCTCTCCCCCCCTCCCCCCCTCCCTTCCCCTCCTCCCTCCCCCACAGGGCGACTACCGCACTCTCTTCACAGGAGAGGGCTCATCCTTCATGGATCCCGTCGTGGACCTCCTCATATCCCTCTTCACCGCTCGCTATGGCTCCCCCATCGGCGCCTACGTGCTGCTCTTCCTCATGGTCATCCACTTCTATGCCGCTGGCTTCGGGGTCACGCTTGCCTCCTCGCGGGCCATCTATGCGGCCAGCAGGGACGGCGCCATGCCATGGTCGCGCGTGTGGAGGACGCTGTCGAGGCGCAACCGCATTCCCGTCAGGGCCATCTGGCTCTCCACCTTCATCGCTATCGCCTTCGGCGTCCCCAGCTTCTTGTGAGTCATGTTTGTCTTGCGCTGCTGCTTCTTGTGAGTCATGTTTGTCTTGCGCTGCTGCTTCTTGTGAGTCATGTTTGTCTTGCGCTGCTGCTTCTTGTGAGTCATGTTTGACTTGCGCTGCTGCTTCTTGTGAGTCATGTTTGTCTTGCGCTGCTGCTTCTTGTGAGTCATGTTTGACTTGCGCTGCTGCTTCTTGTGAGTCATGTTTGTCTTGCGGTGCTGCTTCTTGTGAGTCATGTTTGTCTTGCGCTGCTGCTTCTTGTGAGTCATGTTTGACTTGAGCTGCTGCTTCTTGTGAGTCATGTTTGTCTTGCGGTGCTGCTTCTTGTGAGTCATGTTTGTCTTGCGGTGCTGCTTCTTGTGAGTCATGTTTGTCTTGCAGTGCTGCTTCTTGTGAGTCATGTTAGTCTTGCGCTGCTGCTTCTTGTGAGTCATGTTTGTCTTGCGCTGCTGCTTCTTGTGAGTCATGTTTGTCTTGCGCTGCTGCTTCTTGTGAGTCGTGTTTGACTTGCGCTGCTGCTTCTTGTGAGTCATGTTTGTCTTGCGGTGCTGCTTCTTGTGAGTCATGTTTGTCTTGCGCTGCTGCTTCTTGTGAGTCATGTTAGTCTTGCGCTGCTGCTTCTTGTGAGTCATGTTTGTCTTGCGCTGCTGCTTCTTGTGAGTCATGTTTGTCTTGCGCTGCTGCTTCTCCACGTTCATCGCTGTTGCTTTTGGCGTCCCTAGCTTCTTATTAGCCCCTTCTAGCCGGTCCTTTGTTTTGTTCGTTTGTTTTTTGTTTTGTGCTGTAGTGTATTGTTTTGTTATGTTCTGTTGTGTTGTTTTGTGTTGTATTGTGTTGTGTTCTGTTCTGTTTTGTTGTGTTCTGTTGTGTTCTGTTCTGTTTTTTTCTTTCTTTCTTTTCTTTTCTTTCCTGTTCTGTTCTGTTCTGTTCTGTTTTGTTTTGTTTTGTTTTGTTTTGTTTTGTTTTGTTTTGTTTTGTTTTGTTTTGTTTTTGTTCGTAGTTTTTTTTTTCCCGCTTAAAGGTGCCCAGCGATGTGTTGCGACTCCCGCTATGCAGAGCCTCATCCCCTGTACGCATTCTTCAACCTCCACACCCTTACCGGTAATCCACGCAGCTCCCCGACGTTCTTTGGAACAGTGGCAGCAGTAACATCAGCAGCATGGCTGGGGACATACGGCATCGTCGTCTTCTTCCGCCTCATCATCCCGCCGCACCGCTTCAAACCTGGCCCTTTCTCCCTCGGCCGCTGCGCGCGGCCGCTCTGCGTAGTGGCGCTGGGATATATCGTGTACACCATCGGTGTGTTTATGGTGCCTATATTCTACCCAATCACGTGGGAGACCTTCAACTATGCCCCCATTGGTGAGCTTGTGGCTTCGTTTCCCATTCACATGGAATTTCTGAGTGGGTGTCATGGTATTAATTGCGGAACTAATATTCCCCATGTTGTTTCTTTCATGGCCGCTCTAATACTTGTTCACTTGTTTCCTGTCATTTTATGTGCGGCACTGCAGCATCACTTCTGCTGATGAGCTTTGTCATCCTATGGTGGATGGTGGATGCACATCGATGGTTTGTTGGCCCAGTTCCATCCGTTACTACTACATCATTAATTATTGAGTCACACTCCACAGCCTCACATCAGCCCCAAGTGTTGCTTGATGAATTGGAACCTCAACACCACTCGCCTAGCCTACCGCAAATGGTAGACCTATAAAAGGAGGCCATGTATGTAAATATAAGTGTGTATCCCTCATACATATTTGTTAATGGTAATCTGTGTCTATCATGCTGTCTGACTAGATATGTGGGACAGCCGGGCATGTTACTACTTGGGCGCATTCCAGTTTTTATATCAGCTTCGTATCTGCACTCGGTATTCTGCTCTATCGCGAACATCTAGTCCATTTGTGGCAGTCTGTCAGACTGACATGTTCCAGAGAGTGGCGGGAAGTTTTTGAACTCTCGGGGAATGCGCGCTGCGAGAGCAGAGTTTGAAGTTTCTCAGGCAAACAATTCCCGATGACCTTGTGAAGGTGAGTCTCTGCGCGTGCTGAGGTAAGCTGTGCGAAAATTGATCTGAAAATGGATGCTGATTTCATTCTCACTGTCCCTCTCTGGCTGACCACAACGGTTTCTTCTGTTCTGTTCTGCCTTTTACCTTATCTAGTAGAACTCCTAAAATCTAGTTTAACTCCTGACTTAATTTCTGTATTACAACGGCGGTTTCGTTAGGGTAAGCTTAGCTTGGGCGCCTTTTGCTTTGATTCGTACTGCAGCGAACCAGGCAATCCTTCAGTACCGGTAGTTTTTATGCTAACTCCGCTGAGCGTACATATTCCTGTCCTAGCTTCCGTAATTCACTCATCAGCCATAATACTAGTTATCGGTGATTCTGGCTGTTTAGAAAGACCATAGGTCGCCGAGTAGTTAGCTTCAATTCATTAAGCGTATAGGCGATTAGTCAGCTATACCGTCACTGATTTTGGCTGTCCACTATCGGCTGGCGTCGCGATAATGGACCAGCCGAGTCACGCTGCCGGTGCAAGCCTCTCGGAGATGAAAGAAAACATAAATCCTATCCTATTTTCCTCACCGGTAAGCAAGCTGGAGTTCAAAGTTTAAAAAATGCATTAATCCTTATGTAGACGGGAGACTGACAAACGACAAATGTACGGATTCTTGCAGGTGGTGAAAAGCTCTCCGCTGCGAGGGGTTCTCAAGTCCCAGAGCTCCGTTGACGGAAAACGTTACATCTCTCCCAGCGGACGTCGGCTTTCACGCGGTCGCCGCGTGAGCTTCGCCAAGGATGAATGCTCAGTCCGCACCATTTCCCCACGAGCGAACGAGCAACAGTACGTATCATGTCGCTTCGTTCCTCATCCGCTTCTTCTCTTTGAAATCCCGTCAAGACCTCGCACTCTAACCCTGCTGTCCTGGTTTCCTTCACAGGAATGACAAGCCAAAGGAGCCGCCTATTATCCCGCACGACAGCTTTGTCGCGATGCCAGGCGACAGCCCGACGACATTTGGTAACCAGATCGAGAACACGATGCGGTGGGAGGAATTCTCCATCACGCAAGCCGTGCCTAATCTTTGGAACCTCGCAGCGCGGGACTCTCTGGACGGCAAGCAGCTCCCTGCTCTGCCGGCAGCTGCACTGGCGGAAGGAACCAGTCAGCCGGCAGCGCAACCGGCAGACGGTCAAAAGGTCGGTGGAAAACGGCAGCTTCCGGCTGAGGGATTGAGTCCGACCCGATGCTCCCCTCGGCTGAAGAAACGACAGGAGATTGCCGCACTGGCGGTCTCCTCGCCGCCCAAACCCCTCTTCGCGATGTCGCCGCCAGCGTCGCCGAAGTCGCCGAAATCACCGAAGGCACCCAGATCGCCGAAGTCTTCTAAGGGAGCGGAGTCTGTGTCGCCGAGGCGATCGCCGAGGAACCATGCAAAATCTCGCATGGCGTTGGAGAGTGCGACGGAAGTCGCAGAGTCGCACGGGCGAGGAAAGGCGACAGCAGCAGCGTCGCCGGCCGCAGCCTCTCCTGAGCCCGGGAAACGGGCGAATCGGAGGGTGAACACTCGTTGTAAGGACCGACGTAACTTTCAGGAGTTGATTCAAAAGGAAGATGGGCTCGGTACCGTCAGTACCGTCGGTGCCGCGGCTGAGGATGAGAGGAAATGCGGCGGCGGAAGCGATCATGAAAAAGCATCCGTGGAAGAGAAAACTGTGGAGGTTGAGCAAGGGATATCAGAGCCAGCTGCTGCTTCCGACATCGTCCGTAATGCCAGTGCTGCGGGAAATAAGACTTCGGGACTCGTCGACCCAGCTCCTATCGTCGCCGAGAAGCAGAACCCGCCAGTGGCTGTCTCGGCAATGGCAGCCGCGACGCCGGAGGGAACGGCGGGCGGGGAGCAGGCGACTGCAGCGCGCGACGGAGAGACGCCGGACGAGGCAATGGGACGTTCGGGCGTGACGTCGTTGTTCCTCAGCCCGGGGCTCGACGACGTGAAGGGCATGGGGCTGGGGTTCTCGCTCACTCCCGTCGACAACACCAGGCCCGCGCTCACTGAAACTGGACGCGCAGCAGCAGCAGCAGCAGCAGCAGTAGCCATAGCCGCAGCGCCGGCGGCAGCTGAAGCAGCAGGCGAGGGTATCGCTGCCGCGCCTGAAGATCTCATGTCGTCGTTTCTGACCCCTGGTGTGTTGGACCAGAGCGATGGGGACCTGGACGGGCTGCTAGAGACCCCGGACGGGGCTAAATCCGCTGGGGGGATGTGGGCGGGCGGTGCTGATAGGTTGGATAGTATGCTGCTGGGCTCGGGGAAAGGTGTTGGCGTTGCGGGTTTCGCGGGTGACTTACCGGATGCGGGGAGTCCTCTGCAGCTGGTCAATGAGGCTGTTGCGCTGGATCAGCTTCCGCGCGTTCCGCTGGTTCCGCGTCAGGAGGAGTGCGCGCCGCTGCGTCTGGAGAGCGCACTGAACGCGGCGCTGTTGCTGCCGGCGCCACTCGCGGCGGACGATCATCAGGCAGATCAGACCAATGAGGCGGATGAAGCGGCGGCCGTTAAGGAGCTCTCCGGCGATGGCGCGTTCGGCTCCCCGCAGGACCGCATTGGGGAAGACGGGGGTGGCGGCGAAGGGGCAGCGGGCGGAGCAGGGGCGAGTCACGGCGGGGAAGGCCGCGCGCACGAGAGCGTGGGGAGGAAGGGGCGGCGGGAAAGCACTGGCACGAGTCCAGAGCCGGGTGCTGGGAAGGAGGGCGGGAAGGAGGGTGGCGGAGAGGAGGGGGACGCAGGGGAAGCGGGGGGCAGGGTTGAGGAGATGGCGGGAGAGGAAGAGGCGGCAACTGAGTTTTCCACAATCGGCCGATTCCCCCGCCTGACTGCCCGCCACGCTGCGACCGCGACCGTGGGCTGGATGGCTGCTATCGAGGCGGGGACGGGCGCGGAGGAGATAGAGACTCCGCCGAGGCGCGTGGCGGAAAGCAGGAGCGGCGAAGGCGGTGCGCGTGAGGCGGAAGGGTCGCCGAGGGACGGGGACTCGCCCATCATGGGTGTGGTGTCCGCCGGAAAGGAGGGCGCGGGCGGCAGCGCCAGGCAGGGCGGAGGGGTTGCGCGGGATGCGCGGGACAGGGGGAATTCCGGGCATGGGGAAGATGGGGGAAATCGGGTGGATGAGGGGGATGTGGAGGAGCGGAGTATGGGGCTGGTGGGGTGGAGCGAGGGAGTGAGGCGGGCATTCGAGGATGTGGAGATGGGGGAGGCGCTGGTGGGGGGTTTCGATCTGGCGGAGGTGGGTTCGGGGGAAGTGATGGCAGGAGGGGTGGGCGGAGGAACGGATAGAGCGCTGGCTGATGGGGGGAGTGAGGAGCAGGCGCACATACGCGGCGTCCGGTGGCTGGATCTGTTTTTCAACCTAGCTGGCGTGAGTGTCACTCATTCGTGGTGCTGGCCGTGAAGCAGTGGTGGCGTAGTCGGATAGCCTGTTAATCCGTTAGCGTTTGTCTATTTCGCGGCCATCTACTCTGTTGTTTCACACTCGTCTGTGATCTCCTGGCCCGCACATGTGCTCCCCACTCTGCAGTTGTCGCTAGAGTCGCGCAAGTCGGGGGTGCTGGAGCAATCCCCCTGGACTCCGCGCACGCCCAGGGAGCGCGCGCGGGAAGCGAGTGCGGGAGAGCGCCTGTTCCGCCGCGTGTGCCTGCAGCCGCAGGTGAGAGAGGCAAGAGACGACTAATGGAGGTGGAGAGAGGAAGAGAGTGAGAAGGGAGGACACCGGACGGGTGGGAACCTATGGAGTAGTGGAGGAGGTTAGAGGAGTAGAGCGAGAGGGAGGCATATCTAGGCAATTTAGTGCGTGAGCTGGCGAAGGTGATGAACGCTGAAACGAAGTGTGAAGGAAGAGACGAGATGTGCCAAGGCCAAAAGGGAGCTAGTATTGAGAGGAGGACAGAAAGGCAGGGGACTTGAACTCTGAAATAAACCGCACAGACCTTTGGTCAGCAGCCCCTGGTCATGCGCCTTGCACTTTGTATCTACCTTGTGCTCTATCATTCGCCCTGTGCGTCATCGTCTGGTATGCTGAAGTGAAGCACTAGCCAACGGGTTGAGGAGGGCTGGGTTGGCTTCAAGTGGCACCGCTGTGGTGATCAAACTCATCTTTGGTGGTGTGATGGCGCTGGTGCGTGTGGTGAGGTGGATGGAGGCGTTTTTCCAGAACTCTAAAAGAAGTCATGTTTGGTGGTGTGCTGGCACGGGTGTGTATGTTGTGCGGTGGGGCAGGAGGAGGCGGTGGAGAAGCTGTGCGCACAGCAGCTGGCGTGCCTGGCGGAGGAGCAGCAGCAGACAGACGCTCTCGAGGCCACCGTGGCCGCCAGCGACACCGCTTTCGCCCAGCTCGCTGCTGTGAGTGCCCCCCTATTCGCTTCCCTCCCCTCTTTCCGCCCCTCTATGTTCCTCCGCCATTGCCGCTCTCGCTCTTTGTCTTTCCCACTGCCCCCCCCCACACACATTTGCACGCTCACATGTATGTACGCAGGCGCACATGCAAGTCTTCTTGCCTGTGATTATGCTGCAAAGTGAGATTGCCTCTGCTCTCTTCTGATCTGCTCGATTCCTCCTGCTGTGCTCCACGCTACTCTGTTATGTACTGCTCTGCTGTTCGTGCTGCAGCAAGGCAAACCCGAGCAGCAGGTGCTGAAGGAGCGACTGCTCGCCCTCAAGGGCCTCATCAGGTGAGGCGCGAAGAGGGTGTTATATGGACGGGGCTCCAGTAGGGGGGTTAAACAGGATGAGTCGGTCGCATGGGATGGGATGATGGGTGCTGTTTCTGTTGCTGCCACATGATTGTGTCACAGCACTCGCACAGTTGGTTCGCACAGTTGATTCGCGTGGGCAGCGTGGACCCCATCTATGCTCCAATACGCTCTTGTGGAACAAGTTCCTCTAAACTGATATGTGTGGCATGTGTGTGTGGATATGCGCGCGTGTGTGTGCGCGCGCGCATGTGTGAGTGCGTGCGTGTGTGTGTGTGTGTGTGTGTGTGTGTGTGTGTGTGTGTGCCCCCGGCTATGCATGTGGGGGTGGCAGGGTGGAGAAGAAGGTGGAGTGGCAGAGGGTGCGCGCGCAGCTGGAGGCGGAGAGGAGCCGCGCCCTGGACCATGCGGAGCGCAGGCTGCAGGTGCGTGCTGGCGTGCTGGCGTGCTTGCCTGCTTGTTTGCTTGCGTTGCACACTTGTTTGTGTTTCACGACATCTCAAAATCGGACTGCAGAAAGCTCTTGGTTCACTTGCTTCTATCTGTTTCGCCCCGACGTTCTGTGCTTTGAATTGCGCACCACTTGTCCTACCTCCCCATGCCATTTCAGGTGGAGCAGCAGTGCATGGCAGAGCGCAGGGCGGCGGAGGAGGCAGCAGCTAGGCGGGTGGGCGAGCTGCTGGCGGACGTGCGGGCGAGGAGGGCTGCGGTGGAGCGAGCGCTGAGGGAGAAGAAGGAGAAGGCAGCGGTGCAGCAGCAGAGCCGGCTCCAGGAGCTGAGGCAGCAGGTGCGCTTGCTTGCTGCATCATGCAGGTACTTTGCAGGCTTGTTATAGGGTTATTGCTGCGAACGGTATGCGTACTTTGAGGCATCTTCCACCACTTTTACTACATATGAGAGTACACCACTTAATTCACTAATGCGTGCACCTATCCTTCCACCCATGTAACACATTCATCCACCCATCCATCCACCCAACCCACCCATGTGCGGCATGGCAGAGGCAGCGACTGCAGGAGGAGACGGACGCCATGAGGAGAGAGCTGGCCGCCCGCCACGACGCCCTGCAGGCCCGCTGCCCGCCCAAGGGCGAGTCCGAGATGCAGACACAGACAAGGACACAGTCACAGGCGCGGATACAGTCACAGCCACAGACAGTGGCGCAGCCTGCGCCTGGGATGGCAGAAGCAGGAGGAGGTTTAAGGGCTGCTGCAGGGGAGTCGGGGGTGGAAGGGGCTGAGGTAGAGAACACGGGTGCTGTGTCGGACCCAGTCAGAGCTGCCAAGATAGCGGAGTTCCTGCAGGTACAGAGCGGTTCTGGGTCCTTGCTGTTGCCACCTGTCCCATGTGATGTGAATGTTCTGTCTGTTCTCCCAGCCCATATCAAAGCAGCAGCTGCTCTGCCCCTGCTTTCGTGAGCCTCACAACATCTGCCCACCCAACCCCTGCCACCCCTGCCACCCCCGCTACCTCTTTGAACCCTGCGTCTCCCTGCCTCCCCCTGCCACCCTCAAACCATGCCACCTGTGTGTGCCGCTGGCAGGGCTGGAAGCTGCGTGAGTACCAGCGGTCAAGCGACGGCATGCACATGGACCTTGTGCTCTCCGTGCTCCAGTTCGTCACCCTCAGGTGGGCTGCTCGCACAGACTCTGAGCATGCGTGCATGTGGTTGCGCATGGGTGCATGTGGTTGCGCATGGGTGCATGTGGTTGCGCATGGGTGCATGGGGATGTGCGCATGGGTGCATGGGGATGTGCGCATGGGTGCATGGGGATGTGCACATGGGTGCATGGGGACGTGCGCATGGGTGCATGGGGATGTGCGCATGGGTGCATGGGGATGTGCGCATGGGTGCATGGGGATGTGCATATGTTTGCGTCATAACTCCTCTCTCTGCTCCCCCATCCATCACTGTGCGCCCCTTCTCCCTGCTGCTCCCCTGTCTCTGCTCGCCCACCCCTCTGCTCGCCACCTGTCTCTGATCCCCCCTGTCTTGGCTCGCTGTCTAAGCAGAATCCACATCGACCTGGCGTCCCCCTCCTTCTCCCTCTCGCCAGCCATCAACCATGAGGTGGTCGCCAAGGTGCGCTCTGCCCCTGCCCTCACATGCTGCTCTTCCCCGACCCTCACATGCCCTTCTGCCCCTACCCTCCTATTAACCTTTCCTGTCAAGCAATTTCACCATCACCCCTCTCATCATTGTCGTCCTCCCATCTCCTCTCTTCCCCTCTCCCCTGCTGCGTCACATGGGCCCCGCACAGCACTTTCCTCTCTTTGAGGTGGCGCCTGCTTTGGAAGCGCTGGTGGTGGGGCCCTCAGGGGTGTCCTCTCAGCTGCACTCCTCCCCCCTCACTGCTGCTGCCCTCGCCGCTGCATACCAGGTACCTTTCAAGCTGCTCTGGTAACCAGGTTGCTCTGCACGCCACTGCAGCAGGCACAGCTGTGACTCCAGCAAGCACTCATCAGCTGTGCCAATCCCGGCTGCTGTGCTGCACCGTGTAACGTGCTGCGTTGATATTTTTTTACATATATAAGCTTAATCACTCACGAGCCATCCGAGCATATCAATGACCCTGCCTTGCTTGCATCATCCCATGTCTGGCTGTGCGTGTCATTCACACCCCCATTCATGTCATTCACACCCCCGTTCATGTCATTCACACCCCCGTTCATGTCATTCACACCCCCGTTCATGTCATTCACACCCCCGTTCATGTCATTCACACCCCCGTTCATGTCATTCACACCCCCGTTCATGTCATTCTCCCACCCGTGTGTGGTGTGCAGGGGGTGCTACTACGAGCAGGGCGCACACATGCACTGGTGCAGGAGCTGTGGGAGCAGAGGCAGGTCCTCATGCGGGTCATGCCGCGCCTCACCGTGCAGCCGTGTGGCACATCAGGTGAGCTTCAGTCGTGACTTGTGAGTCGACTAACTTGTCACGTCTTAATTCATCTCAAAAGCAGTGACTTGGTTCTGCTCCCTTTGCTTGTGTCAGTTGATTTGTGCACCTCTCCCCTCCGCTTATCTGCCTGCCCATGCACCCGCAGGGGATGTCATGGTGCAAGCTTCGTTCATGCACTTCGACCCCTTCACCAAAGTGGTGCTCAGCTGTCGCATCCCCTACCAGATAAGGTACGTGGCTCAGCGTCTAGCAGAAGCCTTGGAAACATGATGTCATGGTGCGGGCTTCATTCGTGCATTTTGATCCCTTCACCAAAGTCGTGCTCAGCTGTCTGTCGCATCCATCCCCTACCAGATAAGGTATCTAACTATGTGCACACTCTAGATTCACCGACACATTCTTTTCATCTGATTTTTTCCCCTCCGAGCTCTATGCCTTGTCATTGCTCATCAGGTCGATGATTCCTGACATGCTCATTGCTCTCCCCCCAATGCATCTCATTCCCTGCAGTGGCATGTCATATCCATTCACGCGCCCCCACGTGGAGGTGGAGGTGCCTCACAGCCGCAAGCTGTCAGCACAGCAGGTGGTACAGGCAGTGGAAGCGGCAGCAGGGGGGGTGCCTGAGGGGTATGGGCTCATGTCCCGCATGCTGCAAGCGGTGGCCGCTACCCTCAAGACACTTCTTGGGGAATGAAATTCTGTAGTGCAAGCAGTGGCAGCAGGGGGGGTGCCTGAGGGGTATGGGCTCATGTCCCGCATGCTGCAAGAGGTGGGCGGCACTCTTGACACTCTTCCTCGGAATGAGGGTTCGGGGTTTAGGGTTTAAGCTGCAGTACAAGTAGTAAGGAGCAGTGGCAGCACCAAGGAGTATGGGCTGAGGACCTGCAGTCTGCACAAAATGGCTGGTACCATCGACCCGCTACATCAGAAGAGAGAATAGGGATGGTAAGGGTCAGTAGAAGACTCATTGACCACTATGGTTGAGAGACAGAGACGTGTGTGATTGGCATGCTCTAAGGTTCGGGCCAGCAGCGCACTGCATACTCCCCTAACAGGTATGGTATATCAGAAGCCGGCGTGCGAGTCTTTAATACCGGTATGATTTGTGCAGCTCTTGTGCACATGAAACCTTAACCAGGATGGATAGTTAGCACCCAGAACCAGTGGCCAGCTCTTGTTTATTTGACACCTAACACCCTTCACGTTGTCAGAATCCCAGTCACTAACCACTGGGATAAAAGGGCTTGTTTATATAGCGGGTGAGTGCGCCCATAACCTCCCAGGCCGACGTGCCTGTAACCCTTCCCTAGGATCATCGGGGATCCCCAGTGGACCTCTGACACCCCCCCGCACTGGGATGCCCGAAGTGCACACACCGGGAATCGAACCCGAGACCTTCGCTCTGATACCATGTCAGAATCCCAGTCACTAACCACTGGGATAAAAGGGCTTGTTTATATAGCGGGTGAGTGCGCCCATAACCCCCCAGGCCGACGTGCCTGTAACCCTTCCCTAGGATCATCGGGGATCCCCAGTGGACCTCTGACACACGTGTATACCTATAGGACATTTGCTAACATGCATGAAAATATGCCATCTGGAATTCCTAGCACAGCTGTTGCATATTCTTGTGCAAGACCAGGGATTGCATGCGCACTGCCACAGGTCTCGAGGAACAGAATGAGCAACAAATATTGCTCTCCACACACGTGACTGCTGGCATTATTGTTGAGTTACATGTGGATGCTCTGTTGCTGCATGAGTGTGTTCGGCTGTGGGAGCATCGTCATCATCATCGTCATATGTACATGGATACTTGCGTCTTGTACGGGAGTGAAGAGGCTTACAAGCGTGGCTTGGGCGAGCCGATTCCACCCATTGCATCTCTCCCCGTGCCTTCACTGCCACTGCCTTCATTGCTACTGCCTTCATTGCCACCACACAGCTGCATCCACCCCGACAGCACCATCTTGTTGCGCTCAGCGATCCAGCACTCAAAAAGTACAAGTGTGAAGGAGCAGCTACAAGCGTGGCTTGGGTGAACCACCATTGCCCATGACGTCACTGCCGTCACTGTCAGCATACAGCTGCATCCACCCAGACAGCACCATCTTGTTGCGTTCCGCAATCCAGCACTCAAAGCTCGCACGTCTCAACAGCTCCCCTCCTCCCACAATCTGCCCTCCCGAACCTGCTGCTGACTCTTCTTCCTCTGCTGTGCTTGATGCTGGTATGGACACGGGCTGCCAGGTTCGGGTGATGAGAGTTTCTCCAGGAAACACGTGCCCCGTGAACCGAACCTGCACGCTGTGGAAGAGGCTCGGGTCGCCCTTGCAGCAGGTTCGGAGGATGGCTCGGGTGGCGAAGCCGAGCGTGCAGAGGCCGTGCAGGATCGGGCGAGGATAGCTGGAGGGCAGGGAATAGAGGGATTGAGGTTGAGGGAAGAGGGAAGCACGGGGATGGGGTGAGATGGGGAGCAACATAGGAGATGAGGCAGGGGCGACGCAGAAAGGGAGACACTGCAGAGAGCAATGAGAACACCAAAGCCGAGTCAACAGCTAACAGGCATTAGAGGGCCTCGGATAGAGGTTGAGATGGTGGGCATTAAAATAGGGGGCTATTTACCCTGCAGTGGCAGCAAATTCAGGGTCAGAGTGGAGGGGGTTGAGGTCGCCACACAGGCGATACAGCAGAGCCTGGTTGGGGGGGATGCGCTCATCTGTTGATGCGTGGGGGGGCAGGCGAGGGGATGGCTGTCTGGTGGCTGCTGCACTGCCACGTGCTGGTGGTGGTTGTTGTGGTTGCTGTTGCGGTTGAGATGGGTTCGTGGAGGTGGTGGCAGGTTTGGAGGAGAAGCCCCCGGCACCACGCAGCACAATGGATGACCTGATGGGGTGGTGGGATGGGATGGCAAGGCAAGGCACAGGAAAAAAATTGGAAGATGAGAAGGCTGAAAGGGGATGTCGCACATGAAAGCACATGGAAAGCTATAATACGGAATGAACCGGCAGGATCCCATGCTCATCTGCCTTTTGAGGCGACTCAAGTGTCAGCCCATGCCCATCAGCAGGCGCCTGCTGCAGCAATGAGCAACTTTTGAGCCGTCTCATGAATAAGCGAGAGTACCCAGCTCCTGCTGCAGCAATGGGCAGCCAGCAAGCCCACACGGTTAAGCGTCATCCCACAGTCGAGCAACGCGTCACACTCACCTGTTGAGTGCGAGCCTGGCGCCTGACTCGCGATCAAAAGATACGGTCTCCACGTCCACTATGGCCGCTCTGCCCTTGTCCTTCACGCCCCCCAGGGCCTAAACCCTTTGAGTTGACTCAGAACACAGGCACACCTGTTGACTGCCAGCCTGGCGCCTGACTCGCGGTCGAACGAGACTGTCTCAACGTCCACTATGGCCGCCCTGCCCTTGTCCTTCAGTGCAGATATGCGCGCGCGATTCACCACCTGCCGCGGGGTGAGGTTGCGAGAAACACAAGTGCTGGGTGCCGCAGGTGGTGGCGTAAGAGGAACATGCTTTTTTGGTCTTTTCTTACGCCCTGTAAGTTGCACTGCCAAAGGAATGGCTGGAGCGACGAATTGGGAACCCACGGCGGGTGGTTGGAGGTCAACATGGCTGCGGTGGGCAGGGGGCAAGAGAGGCGCATAGCTTTTGGGACGTCTCAAAAGTCGTTTACCTTGGCAGTGGTGGGCAGGGGGCGAAAGAAGCACAGGGTTTCTGAGACGTCCCACAAGTCGTTTACCTTGGCGGTGGTGGGAAGGGGGCGAAAGAGGCGCAGGTACTGCTCCCCGTGCAGCAGTAGCGCCGGATCGAAGCTGGGGGACGGGGGGGGGGAGAATAAGTGAAGAGATTGGGGGTGCCTGAATATTTTACATTCATACAAATACAGGGCGAATGGGCGACACAGAAGGGCGGAAGGATGTTGAGACACCAAGAAGGTAGCGAAAGAGGGAGGAAGAAAAGGGGGTTACCAGCATGGTTCCACCCCATAGTCCCATCCCATCCACTCACACGAGCCCATCGACGGCGAGGAGTTGCTCGATGAGGGAGGAGGGGAAGAGAACCGCAAAGGTGGGGAGGACCTGCGGTGTGAGAGGTGGCGCAAGGAGGGATGAGAGGGAAGGAAATGTGGGTGAGGGGAGAGGAATGTTGGGGGGAGGGGGGGTTAATGAGTTAAGGTCGTTTTTGAGGCGCCTCAAAAACGACCTCAATGCATGAGAGGGAAGGAAATGTAGGTGAGGGGAGAGGAATGTTGGGGGGGGGGGGGGGGGGGTTAATGAGTTAGGGAGCTGTTAAGGACATGGCATTGCTGTGTGACATGTGGATGAGATGGAGTCTAGTTTTGAGGCGCCTCAAAACTAGGCCGTGTGACATGTGGATGAGATGAGATGGAGACTAAAACGAGTGACACTCTGTGGCACATGCAAAGTGATTGTGGCATGTGGGGTGGGGTGTGGTGATGATTTAGACTGGTGGCTTCGTATAGCGGAGGTCAAGGTGGGTTCAGCGAAGAATTGATCCTGAAAGGGCGAGAGACACAAGGTGGAAGCAATGCAGGCCAAGGGCAGGTCGATAGAATGGTGAGAGACACAAGGAGAGTGCCTGTGGCGCGTGGGGCGGTGTGTGTGTGGCGGTGCATACAAGTGATTGGCGGTTATGGCGGTGCTTACAAAGAAGCGATCCTGAAAGAGGTGATTGTAGGCGAAGGGCAGGTCGATAGAATCACACGCGTCAGACGAGCATGCCCCAACGCCCAACGCGTATAGTGCCACGTCCCTGCCAGCCAGCCAGCACACAGATAACGACAAGCCATGCCACACATTCACAGGGAGGGACACGCATCCCCGGCACAGATGTAGGGGTTGGGTCGGCAATGCCACGCGTACACAGCAGTGAGTGTCACATACAGGACAAGCGATGCCACACACGCACGCACGCACGCACGCACGCACGCAGAGAGGCAATAATCGGCAAGACACAACGAAACCACCAAGAAGTACGAGGGTTTGAAACAGAATCAACAGCAAAGGCACCTCTTTCCCGCGCTTCTCCCATGCGATGTTCCCCGCCCGCTCCTTTCCCCCGCCCTCTCCTTTACCCCGCCCTCTCCTTTACCCCGCCCTCTCCTTTACCCCGCCCTCTCCCCCTCCCTTTCCCAAAATCTTTACCCCCCCCCTCTCCTTTCCCCCACCCCTTTCCACCCCCACCCTGGTTCCCCCATTGCCTTCCGCTTACTTCTCTGTGGACTCATACTCCCACTGGCAGACGTCACCCTTCCCCACACCTTTTCCCCCATTGCCTTCCCCCCACCTTTTCCCCCATTGCCTTCCGCTTACTTCTCTGTGGACTCATACTCCCACTGGCAGACGTCACCCTTCCCCCCACCTTTTCCCCCATCGCCTTCCCCCACCCTTGTTCCCCCATTGCCTTCCCCCACCCTTTTCCCCCATTGCCTTCCCCCTCCCTTTTCTCCCTCCCTTTTCCCCCATTGCCTTCCCCCTCCCTTTTCCCCCATTGCCTTCCCCCACCCTTTTCCCCCATTGCCTTCCCCCACCCTTTTCCCCCATTGCCTTCCCCCACCCTTTTCCCCCATTGCCTTCCCCCACCATTTTCCCCCATTGCCTTCCCCCACCCTTTTCCCCCATTGCCTTCCCCCTCCCTTTTCCCCCATTGCCTTCCCCCTCCCTTTTCCCCCATTGCCTTCCGCTTACTTTTCTGTGTACTCATACTGTGTCTGCCAGGCAGACGTCCCGGGTTTAGCGGCGGCGCATGGGGGCCAATAAAAACCATCCACGTGTGCATGGGCGGCGGTTGGCAGGCGATGACAGGGAGAGGGGGGTGAAGAGAGAGAACTGAGGAGGATGGACGGAGATGCGCGGAGGGGGTTTAACCGGGGGAGCCGAGTTTTGAGTCGACTCAAAACTCGATGACAGGGAGAGGGGGTGAAGAGAGATATTTGAAGAGGATGGACGGACGGAGATGCGTGGCGGGGGTTTAATCGGTGGAGCCGCGAATGAGAATGAATGATGAGCGACGAGATGAAGAGCAAATAGAAAGAAGTATGCTGCCTGAATTCTTAGAGTATCGAGTACGAGAGTCGAGAGTATGAGAGCGCAAGCAATGAATAACGAGAGCGATGAACTGAGAGCGACGGGAGCGAGGGATGTTGAAAGGTCACTCAAGAGCGAAGGTGGTTGCGACACTGCGGCAAGCTGCGCACGACTCGCTCGTTCCCCGTTGGTCGAATTCACGCAAGCTGGGACCGAATCGCCCTGTGGACGAGCGACGTGACGCACTGACCTCGTCGAATTCGTATCCGACAACTTTCGCCGCCTCGATTCTCGGCGCTCCACGTGATGCTGCCATCCCTCGCGGCCTGGCAGTCAAAGAATGGACTCTTGATCTTGATACCAAGTGATAGAATCTAGGCGTTACGTTGAAGAATCTTGATGTCAGGTGAGTTAGGGCGCGTCACCTCGGTCGTTCGAACGGGCCAATTCGAACAGCCACCGTACTGAAACGCTTTGTTTGTTCCTCAAAACGTCCTGTACCAGACTTAACCTTCAGAATTTGGACACTCGAACAGCTTATTTCCGCCCGATGTGAGACGCCTCGCAGTCTGAAGAAACAACGTACCGTCTAATCGCGGACCTAGGGCTATGATGTCCTATTTGGAACCTGGGGCTTTCATATGGTATGGCGCCAGCATGGTAACCCTGAAAAAGGGCATTTCGAGAATGTGGCGGGGGCGAACGCGAACTTGGGTGGCGAGATTAATAGCCCTCGTGATGTTATTTCGCGAGAGCTGTTTCCGAGAATAAGGGTGGGGCGAACGAACCAGTGTGCGACAGAGCACTGCGCTCGCCCCACCATTGGCGGGCAGGGCACACTTCCTTGGGCCATTTTCAGGTGCGATCCACACTTGCCAGGAAATCTACTCATGTGCGATCCATGTTATTTTGCAGGTATGAACCTGGATCGCACATGAGTAGATTTCCTGGCAAGTGTGGATCGCACCTGAAAATGGCCCCACTTCCTTCCATCCCAACTCACGTGTGATTAGGATAATTACCTTTGGAGTGACCTGGATCGCACGCTAAGTAAGCCACGTGTCCAGGTCGTAACAGAGATGTCTTCTCATCGCCACCATGGTAACCAGCATGCCTATATGGTCAACATTATTGCCTGAATGGTAATGAACAGTGCATCCGGAAATCCTGGCTGGTAACTTCGCGTTCCAGCCTAAGAGCGTCTTACGTACCCCTTATTTTGGGGCCTGGTTGCCTCAAACATGCCAGTTGGGTTGAACGTAGGGTTACTCGATAACCCTACGTTATACAGTGTACAGTAATGTATGTGCGTACCACACCCTTCTGGCAGCTGGTAGAGGCAACCACGTAGTCAAGCAACCGACTGGTCTCGGCCATGTACAACCGTATTGAGGCAACCAGGGTTGAACGTACCTAACCGCCGCGCAAACAGAGGGTGCACGAAAACATTGCGGGCAGGTTGCACTAGCGAGACTCGATGTGGCTGGTGCAATAAAAATCTCATCAAATTTTGGCCGCTAAGACTAACGCAGTGACTATAGGGTCTACCTGAAATACTATTTGCATGGTTGGATCCCAAAAGTAGGCGGGTGGTACATTTGCAGGTTGCCTGCTAGGTACCCAACCGGCCATGTTAGTAGTCTAGTCGACCTGACCAGTCGGGTTGGATCGACTTTTGGAGGCAACCAGGGCCTACCACCAAAATAAGGGGTACGTAACACGCTCTATTTTGGTGGAACAGAAACTAACAAAAACCTTGATGGAAAAGGTTTTCCACAAGGGCTCACACTGATAATCAGGTTTTTGTAGTTGTGCCATACTGATCATAAGGGTTGCTCAAAACAAAAAATTAGCCCTGGTTGCATCAGATGAATTTTCCTGTCATGAAATGCCAACGCAAATTTCCACATTTGCGTGCGTGTGTCCCGTGAATGGAATGGGATGGGATGGATTCCGATCGGCAGTCAAAAGTCCTCGCCTTCTTGGCGCACGCGCGCGGTGAAACCCCAGTCTACTCATCACACGCCCAAAAAAAGGGGCGAGTGCAACGCGAAGTGAACACCTTCACCACCACTCAGTGACGACTGTGGCTGTACACTATACTGATATAGGTATACTGTACCTCCAACCCTTCACCACCATCGAATATGACGCGATCCGTCTCGTCTCGTCTCGTCTCTCGGCGCCACCCATGGCACGCATCAAGTCAGCAGTCGAAGGAGCAAACCCAAGAGCTGCAAGTGTCGTCCTCAGTGTGTCGTGCCACTCGCGGGGCGCCTGGCGGAGACCGTAGACTGGCCGCCGGAGGCTCCACTGGGTACCCTCAAGAAACGACCCAGTGAAGCCAGGTGGGCGGCACAGCCAGATCTCCTCGTGAAGGCCACCCTACAAGAAAGTTGTGGAGAAGTCGAGGGAGTGCAGCTCGTAGTCACGCTGTGCTGCAACATGCAGTAACACCCGAAGAGTAGTCATCTTCGGAGTGGGGGAGAAGGTCTGGAAGAAGTCGACCCCCTGTCGCTGACTGAAGCCTCGAGCAACGTAACGCGCCTTGAAGACAGGCGGAGAACCCGGCGGCCGTTTCACCCTGAAAATCCACATGCCATCGACTATGTTCGCCCCAGGAGGGGGAACCTCGTCAACATAGGTGCCTGTGGACTTTCAGGAAGCCATCTCTGCGTCCATGGCTGTCTGCCACTGAGACCGGGGAGGTTTCACCCGTGATCGCCTCTGCGTAAGAGCGCGGGGTAGGGATGTCAAGAGCATCCGGGTCTCCCTCAGGGGCAACAAGCATGGACGCGAAACGAGGTAAAGCGACCGCGAGACACTCAAGCTCAAACTGTCTGTCCTCAAGGACGTCACTGCCCAGGGCAAGCTCACCCCCGATGGACGGAGGACAGACAGACTCAGACTCAGTAACAAGACAGAGCAACGCGCTGTGGAACAGAGGAAGCATTAAGTGTCATAGTGTGTGTACCCGGGACAGCTGGAGGACGAGAACGACGAGCACGACTGACACTGCGAACAGGGGAGGCAGGACTAGACTCAGGATCACGACGCTCTACCAGGGAGCCTATCTGTGCAGGGTAGGGAGAAGGAGCAGACAATGGAGAGCCAGGCAGTAACTGTGGCTGTGACTGGTCAGGCAGAGGACACAGGAGAGGCGTAGTAAGGCCAGTGGAAGATGGAAGACTAAGAACCTGACGAAGTGCCGAGTCAGGCGATGGTAGGGACGACTGCGGCTGCGGGTAGAAAAACGGTCGGCGCGGCGCAGTATCTGGACCATCAGCAGCTCCAGCACCTCCAGCTCCAGTACCTCCAGCTCCAGCACCTCCAGTACCTCCAATACCACCAGCTCCAGAACCTCCAGGACCTCCAGCTCTAGCACCTCCAGTACTAGCAGCTCTAGTACCTCCAGCACCTCCAGCTCCAGCACCTCCAGCTCCAGCACCTCCAGCACCAGCAACCCCAGTACCTCCAGCACCAGCAGCTCCAGTACCTCTAGCACCTCCAGCTCTAGCACCTCTAGCACTAGCACCTCCAGCACCAGCACCCCCGGAGTCCGCACCCACCTCCAGCAGCACCAGAGTCCACAGCAAGTGGCTGCAGAGGCAGCGAAGACGTCTGAGGCGGAAACCCAGGGGGGGCCGCCAAGCGCGCTGAGCGGCGAGGGGCCACAGTGTCGGCAGCAGTCGAGTCACCCCCCTCAGCCGGGCCAGAGGTGTCAGAGGAGACCTCCAAAGGCTCAACCAAGGGGGGTGGGTCTACCTGAGACACACCTGAGGGAGCAGGACCCTGAGGGGGGGGGGCTACCAAGAGGGGGGTCGGGTACCAGGAAGAGAGGCGAGAGGGGCACGGGGGAACTGCGGTGGGGGTGGAGATGGTAGAAGCAGACAGACTCGTCAAAGGTGACGTCCTGGGATGAGAGAACACGACGAGAACCCGGGTTGTAAAACTGCCAGGGCGGGGCGTCGGTAGGGAAGCCAAGGAAGACGCAGCGAAGAGTGCGAGGAGAAAACTTGAAGCCAAGGAAGCCAAGGAGTACAATGTCGAGAGAATTGTTGTACCCCCTAAGCCTAAACCCCCTACAGCCTAGTACAAGATAAACATATAAGTTCGACACACATGATGTGTGACGTCTTCTCATGATGTGTAAGCAAGGACGCGTGACCGTTGCATTGGCATGGCAATTGTGCATTGGCAT